TCTGATAGAGACTTTGAAGATTTGTTTATGATAAATTTGTACAAATCCTTTTCGCCCTCAGAATGACGAGTTTTTGCAACGACCATTAACTCACTATCGCTTCTAATATCATTTGCGACAATAAATTCAGAAACATCGATGTTGGATAACTTCTTGGGTTTCGAAGAACTTGGTAGGTTTTCCTTAATTTTCTCATTGTTAGTTGGTGCTGAGATTCTCCTTTTCTTCGCGTTATCAGAAAACTGTGTGAAAGCACGTTTGGTTTTTGGTGAGCCAATTTCTTGTAAATTTGGGTGGCCAGGGCTGTGTAATACGTCGGTGAATGACTTGTTCTTGCAGACGTATTTGTAGGCGACATGGTAACCACATGATTGGTCGGAAAATGCAAGGCAATTCCATGCTTTTTGCTTACATAATTTTTCACGGCTTTCCACCGCCTTGGTGCACTTAGTTTGATAGCCAAGTGGTAATGCTTTCCCCCATCTCTATGTTCCTCCATGCAGCATGACCAGTGTTCTGGATGGTTCGTATTATCCTTTTGATTTCCTTGTGATTGTGAAAATGCCTCAAGAATACAATCAGCAAACGCCTGGCAATTTGCTATTTTCCCCAAATCTGCCTGGGAATAAGTGATCAGATAAACACGACGAGTTTGTCTTTCACCGAGCGCCTGACCAAAATCGCTTTCGACAGCGTTATTTTCCATGGTAAACACACTTGAATGACTTGACAAGGTAAAGATAAATAAAGAGAAAAGCGATCAGCTTCAGAATTTCGCGCCTTTCGATTTTTGGACCCAGGCTTAAATCGCGCAGTACCGGAAGTTGTCAATTTCAAAACAAATAAATCTACCTCTGTATTATAGTTTGTAGTATTTTTACTATACGGAGCATTTTAATACACGGCTTGTAGGAAGTTTACATCCTGAAAATTATCCTGTTGTTGTGATTATAAGAGACTATAAAAACGAAATCATAATATGAAGGTATGTTTTGCATTTAATATTTTATGTCAAACAAGAAGAATGGCGAACAATATAATGATGTTGGTTAGACGTTTTATACTATCTTGCATCTACATAATTTATAAATGTTTAATACAATCAAACGATACGTTCGAATGCTAAATAGTATATTTTATAAACCTCATCGTTCATGACCGACGACAACACCTTGGAATATGTACAGCAAAACCTCCATAAAAAATTTAAATAATCTATTATTCGCGTCCAAATTTTTATTTAAATACAGTGCGGAATTACAATTGTTTATTTCTTGCGTCATAATACTTAATCTTTTAACCGCACATCAACATACCGCATGCACGAGTGTCATCGGTGGAATTGTTTGAACATTTTCAGACGTCGCTGGCTAATAAGAAAAAATACAATCTTGGACAAAATATTTTGGCAAGACTTATTTAATCTTATTCTTTCTTGTTCTGTTGTCTTATTTTCCGTCATATAGGCAGATGTCTACTTTATATCAAATCTTAGGCACTCTCGTCCCTCCCCCTATATCAATGTTGCTATTTTCGGTTAAATCTTCAGGGAAAAACAGGTGTATTGGCGCAAACAACATTGATATTGGGGGAAGGGAAATAGAATGACATTTTTGCCATATATTTTGTCCAGGATTGCAGGTCCTTGATCGACACGCTCCCCTTAGACGTATGAGAACTCGTGGAAATTCTCTCCCTTGGATTTCTTCAGACATCAAGGGTATAATGAGATCAAGAGACTTCCACAAAATAAAAGCGGTTAGATATAATTCTCAAAGTCATTGGACAAAATATAAGGAATTACGAAACAAAGTTAATGCTGAACTAATTAAAGCTAAAAGAAACTATTTCTGCAATAAAATAGAAGATTGTGCTCAGTCCAAAGACATAAAGCAAAGTTGGAATTTAATTAACCATCTCATGGGTAAAATGTGAAATCAAACACGATATCCCAACTTAAAACGGATAATTCTGTCATTTCAGACGATAAATTGAAATCTGAGGCTTTTAATGATTTCTTTGTCAATATCGGGGCAAAACTTGCAGCTGAAATTGAAGATAATTCCCTCAACACAAATTCTTTTGCTGGCGGAGATTCTAGGCCTACTACCGACTCCAATCTTTTTTTCAAATTTTCTGAAATTAACGAGGACGAAGTAATATATCAATTGCGTAGTCTCAAAATTTCAAAATCCACAGGATTAGATAACATCCCTGCTAAAGCTCTTAAAATATCCGCGGACATTGTTGGTCCGCCATTAACTTGGATATTTAACCTTTCGATCAAAAAAGGAGAATATGTGGATGAATGGAAAAAAGCCTGAGTTACACCCATTTATAAATCTGATGACAGGTTGAAATGCGAGAATTATCGCCCTATCTCGATACTACCCATTGTTAGTAAAATACTTGAGAGATGCGTTTTTAATCAAATTTATAAATTTCTTAATGACAATTCACTTCTTTCAAAACATCAACATGGTTTTCGGCCTAAACATTCAACTCTCACCGCTCTAACTCAGGTGTGAGATACTCTTTATGAAAATATGGATAATGGTCAATTGAGTGGCATTGTTTTTCTTGACATTCGTAAAGCCTTCGACTCAATTGATCATAATATTCTGCTTCATAAATTAAAAGATCAATTCGGTATATCGGATATTGAGTTAAGATGGTTTGAGTCTTACTTAAATAATAGGGAGCAAGTCTGTATTGTTAATAATTCAATGTCATCGTCAAAACGGATTGTTTCTGGGGTTCCGCAGGGATCTATTTTAGGTCCACTGTTATTTTTACTCTATATCAATGACCTCCCCGAATCCCTTCAAAAAACTACTCCTTATTTATATGCTGACGATACCCAAATTTGCTGCAGCTCTAACAGTTTGATTGAATTAACCGAAAACCTTAATCACGATCTGAGTAGAATCGGTGATTGGCTTTCTAGAAATAAATTACAACACCACCCAACTAAGACCAAAATAATGTTCATTGGCTCTAAACATCATATTAATTCCACACCTTTTGATCATCCAGTGATGTTAAATAACCAACGCATCCCCAGAGTTCACTCTTTCACATGTCTTGGTCTCGATTTAGATGAAAATCTTAACTGGAATTCACATATTCAGGCGATTTGCAAAAAGGTTGGAGCAGGCCTGGGTACTTTGAGACGTATTAAACCCTTTGTTCCAATAACCACCCTTCAAACAATTTATCGAGCTCTGATTCAGCCGTATTTTGATTATTGTTCTCCCATTTGGGGCGTCTGTGATCAAAATTTGAAAAATAAACTCCAAAAATTTCAAAATCGCGCAGCCCGAATCATTGTCGGTGCAAGTTATGAGATTAGATCTGCTGATGTTCTTCAATCTCTTGCTTGGGACAATTTAGAGACAAGACGACGTACAACCAAAGCAATATTAATGTTTAAAGTCTTGAAGGATTACGTAGGACCTACGTTGAAAGAATCCTTGATAAGACGCAATCATATGCAAACAAATTATGATCTTAGAAATAGTCATACAGATTTGGCTCTTCCTAAGCCTAAAAGAGAATTCCTAAAAAAGAGTTTTAAATACAGCGGGGCTAAGCTATGGAATAGTCTCTCTATCGATACGAAACTGGCAGAATCAATGCACCTGTTCAAAAGCCATTTAAAACTTAACTCTAATACTATATATATTTGAAATAAATTGTAACTCCGTCTAACCATAACATCTGGGGTCACACCAATTTGTAAATAGTCTTCTTTTCCCTTATATCTTTTGTAATTTTTAACATTGTAGACGCCCCCGTGGAAACCAACGCACCGTTGACGGGGCTAGTGTCTTTAAATAAAGTTTTAATACAATACAATACAAATATCACTTTGTTCGCCTATTTTATGGTAAAAAAGTCTTTTATCCTTACTAACATCCACAATTTCATCACAATGACAATGTTGGCAACAGGCGATTACATGCGTGACATTTCCTTCGGACAGTCGTAAATCACGGATCGTACAGTGACACCGCTGACAATTTGGATAAAAATCTGTCCATATGCATATAAGATATGCCAAATGGGAGATGTTTAAACCTTTGTTACAACCGTTAACGTTATCTTTGTTACAACGTCTTCAGACTCATCCTCGGATTTATCAGACTGTCTATCCTGATGGGACCACTTGTGGGCTAGCATTGTAAGAACACGCCTATTTACGATTAGGCTTTTATCAATTTCCAGTTTTGCAAGACCTTTTAGAAATATATTCAGTCCAGCCGGTTCTGGAATTTCAGTATTATATGGTAAAACAGTATATTGCAAAAGATCTACAATATTTGTTCCACGTATATTCTGTCCTTTGTATGCAATTTCCCCTTGAGAATTCCATGTTAGAACATCCGTTGATGTGATAATGCGGCGAAAAAGTTCTTCCGCATTGTTTTTATCAACATTATCGTTTAAGTGTCCAAGTATATATTCAACACGCCAATGTCTCGGAGATCATTCGTTGTTGTCCATGGTTAGAATTACAATGTGAATTAATGATGATTATTTTATACTAATTCTGCAAGGCCCTCTAAAAGTGGCGCAATTACCAATCCTAGAAAACCACGCCCGCGCTGAACTAGAATTTTCCTTTTCGTTCTAAAACTCCTACTTCTATCCGCTAAGTCAGCGAGATCGTCTTTAAATTGTCCAAGTTTGTTCAATATTCCTTTGGGACATGTAAAGTTTTCCAAGCAATTACATAGAAAGCGAATCTGTTCATGAGATGCAGAATTCAACACAGCTTGCTGTTGAATTGGATGAGAAGTACACAAGAGCTCCACAAACGGTCTGTGTTTGACATAACTGCTAGTCGTCTCTGTTCGGCGGTCAGCAACGGAATGAAGACTTCTTTCGAAATAACATATTCATATATTAACGAAAATAGGTTTTATCTTCTAATATCTTAGGATGTCATACAATATCTTAGGATATCATCCAGTACCTTAGGATATCAATATCTTAGGATATCATTCAGTATCTTAGGATGTCAATATCTTAGGATATTATACCGTATCTTAGGATATCAATATCTTAGGATATCAATATCTTAGAATATCATTCAGTATCTTAGGATATCAATATCTTAGGATATCATACAGTATCTTAGGATATCAATATCTTAGGATATCATACAGTATCTTAAGATATCATTCAGTATCTTAGGATCAATATCATAAGATATCATTCAGTATCTTAGGATATCAATATCTTAGGATATCATTCAGTATATTAAGATATCAATATCTTAGGATATCATACAGTATCTTAAGATATCATTCAGTATCTTAGGATCAATATCTTAGGATATCATGCAGTATCTTAGGATATCATCCGGTATCTTAGGATATCATCCAGTTTTTCTGGTTTTTCTGCCCTTAACGAGTAGCATACCTACAAGTCTGCTACAGTTGAGTAAGCAACAGCCGCAAAGTTCCTATAAGGAACCTGAAGGTACTGGTGAAGGGAAAATGCAATCTAAAGCTACTAAGGACGATCGAATGTTATTTCCACCTTTCAAACTCAGCTCACACCAACCGCAACCACGACGTCCACAACCGCATATTAAATTATTCTCGGACTCACCCTCGTACTAGACCAGCTCAAACACGAAACCGGCATAATTCCCGGGTTACTACCCCACAGGAAGAGCCGCTTAAAGCACAGACCCCCTGGCCGGAAGGAATTTCTTGTCCTAGTCAGCCAAATAACCAGGACGCAATAACAAAGTTGAATAAGATCCCTGTGAGAATTACATCTAATCGAACACGTAATTGTATATCAAGGCACAATGTCCCTAATTCACGCACAAATAACTCTAATCTAATTGAAATAATACCTGAAATGAATGCATCTGGTCAAAATAAGCATACAACTACGTCCAAAATCAGTTCTATCGCAGCCAATAAATGTGGTCTTCAAAAATCGAAAATTAATATTGCACATTTAAATATTTGCTCTCTAAAAAAGAGGGAACATTTAATTCAGATAAGACTTCTGATGCAGGAAAATAAGTTTGATGTACTTGCCGAGTCGGAATCTTGGCTTACGGCCAGTGTGAGAAATGAAGAGGTTGAAATTTTCGGATACAGTCTATCTAGATTGGACCGGCGAGGGAGATCCGGTGGGGGTGTGTGTGCCTATATCAAGAGCTCGTTGAAAAAAAAGGTGTTTAGGGATTTAACAGAAATTTCAGAATCTGGTTTTCATCAGTTATGGTTACAAATTCAGCATAAAAAATTGAAATCTTTTCTATTATGCGTTTGTTACCGACCTCCAGATAGTCCTGTATCTTGTTTTACCAATAATTTTATGGATAATTATATCAAAGCACTCACTTTTGGTAAAGATATCATAATTGCTGGAGACTTAAATTGCGACTTGTTAAAGACAGCTCAAGAGGCAAAGGTTTTGAATGATTTTTGTCACTGTTTAAATTTGACACAGTTAATTGATAAACCGACGAGGGTCACGTCACGTTCGTCAACGCTTATTGATGTCATGATGACTTCAAATAAAGATTTGATTGCAGAAATTGGAGTGCTTGAAACCTATATTAGTGATCATTTTCTGGTTTACTGTTCACTCAAACTAAAGTTGATAAAACCGCATCCAATTTGCATCACTGCAAGGAGTTATAAGCATTACGACCGAAACCAATTCCTCTGTGATTTGGCATGCATTCCGTGGCATGAGAATTTATTTGTTGAAAATGTAAATGATAAACTGTCGCATTTTGATAGTAATTTTCAAAATGCATTGGCTAGGAATGCACCAATTAAGACAATGAAAATAAGACATCGACAAGTACCATTTGTTGACGATGAGATCAAAGAACTGATGAAAAATAGAAAAAGATTACACAAATTTGCTCGTCTAACCCGAATGCCATCTGATTGGGAGAAATATCGTGCGCTTCGAGATAAAGTTAAATGTAAGCTACGCCAAGCAGAAAAAGATTATGTACACAATGAAATATATAATAACCCAAATATAGCATCGATGTGGAAAGTCATCAGGAACTGCGTTCCACGTAAAGAGACCACGAAACCAAGTTATTCCGGAGATGTTAAGAAATTAGCTAATGAATTCAATACCTTTTTTACCTCAGTGGGGATAAATACATCAGCAACTGCATTGGCATTGCTTACTGAACATGGACTACCCATACTGAATCCACCAACATCTACCGAAATACCTGAGATCGATCAGTTTTATTTCCATTCAGTATCGTGTAGTGAAATAAGTAGGGTTGTTATGTCCTTTTCATCAAATAAGGCACCAGGATTTGACAAAGTATCAATGGCTGTGATCAAGGATGCCTTACCGTACATCCTTCCTACACTTACGCAAATTGTTAATTGTTCCCTGGAAACAGGTGTTTTCCCAACAGCCTGGAAGAAAGCAGAGGTTATCCCACTTCTGAAGGAAGGGGATTATGAAATTCCGAATAATAATCGGCCCGTGTCGTTGTTAGTGGCTGCATCTAAGATCTGTGAACGTGTGGTATTGAAACAGCTAACAGAGTATATGACAAAGAAGAAAAAATTTACTAAACATCAAAGTGGAAATAGGAAGTTACATTCAACCGAAACATTAAACATATTCATCTCAGGTTTAATTCTCCAGTCCATGGATCGTAGAGAAGTGACTGCTTTACTCTTACTGGACTTGTCTAAAGCTTTTGATAGCTTAGATCATTTCATTCTGCTAAGAAAACTTTCGAATATTGGAATCTCGAAGCCTGCGTTGTTTTGGTTTAAAAGCTATTTGACAGGCAGGTGCCAATCAGTACGTATTGCGTCAGTGTTATCTGATGAATGTGAAATAACTCGCGGTGTTCCGCAGGGATCGATACTGGGTCCGGTGTTATTTAATATATATATCAACGACTTGCCTGGTGTACCCAAGGAGTCCAATTTGGAGTCGTACGTGGATGACTCAAAATATATTTAGCATTCTCAATCAGGGATGCCGAGTTGGCAGCTATGAAACTCACTGAAGACATGCGAAGAATTACCGCCTGGTGCTGTCTTAACAGTTTATTGGTGAATCCAGAAAAAACTAAGTTGCTTATATTAGGTACTAGGCAAATGTTAGAACAGGTACCTGAAAATTTTCAAATAACTATCCTTGGTGAGAATATTACTCCAGTTGCTGTTGCAAAGGATTTAGGGATGATATTGGACTCATGTTTGAGCTACGACGAACATATCGCAAGCGTTGTTTCATCTTGTATCGCTGGACTGGGCCAAATTAGCAGAGTTAAACATATCTTTGACAGAAAAACATTAATTCTTATTATAAATTCCCTGATTTTTAGCAAAATGTATTACTGCTCTGCTGTTTGGTCTAATACATCCCAAAGAAATATCGAGAAACTTCAAGCGGTCCAGAACTTTGCTGCACAGATTTTACAATTGGTTTCATACAGGCTTTTTATACGGATGCAAGTTATCGAAAATTTTCGGAAAAATTCAGGTAAGTATGGCTCTATTTCTTTCTTCTGAAATACATCAAGGCGATGACCTTTTTAGTGTTCAATCTAGAGGCAAACAATGTGCTTTTATGAGTTTATCTGCAATTTTAACTGCCCAAAGTATCCCAGTGATCGATTGGTCGAAAACGACATTGAATAATGTCTTATTACAAGGAGACAAAATGTATTTGCAAGCTGTGGATAATGGCTTTGTTCATTTGTTGTCTTAGAACTTGGTGTCGAATTCCTATCTGTAGATAACTTACCTAAAATTGTCAGTGTTTCAAGTTGTACGAACATGTTTTCTTACGAGATATGCGATTCTGTCATCGACACAAGTAATCTATCATCTGTAGTGCATGCGAAAACAACTACAACACCTATGAATCCCTTTGATACACAAATTAACGTTGAACTACCCATGGTGGTAGGACAAAACAGTAAAAGTGTACCCATGGTGGTACAACAAAATCATAACAGTCCACCTATGATGGTAGGACAAAACAGTAACAGTCTACCCGTGGTGGTAAGACAAAATAATAACAGTCCACCTGTGATGGTAGGACAAAACAGTAACAGTCTACCCGTGGTGGGAAGACAAAATAATAACAGTCCACCTGTGATGGTAGGACAAAACAGTAACAGTCTACCCGTGGTGGTAAGACAAAATAATAACAGTCCACCTGTGATGGTAGGACAAAACAGTAACAGTCTACCCGTGGTGGTAAGACAAACAGTCCACCCATTGTGCTAGAGCCCGTTGAGGCACAAAATAACATTGAACTACCCATTGTGGTAGAGCCTGTTGAGGCAAAAAGTATCACTGATCTGCCCATTGTGGCAAGGGGTAACACTGATCTATCTATTGGTGTGGAGCACAATTCTGTGGTGCCTAATGAGGAAAACAATAAAAACCAAATTTGGTTTATAAATTATGGAAAAGAGCTTCAAGGTCATGAAGACATGAAGGTTTCGCCAGAGTTCACTCGACCCAGTCTTTCGCGCCGATCTATGTATTGTCGAGATCTCGATCTTGTGTCTGTTAAGATGTCGTAAATTCCGGGGGGGAACGGCGGGGGGGGAGTGCGAGAAAAATATTAAATATTTAAATTGCGCGTGCACATATTTATATGGCTATATCAGTATATGCAAACTTATTCTGGATCTGACTTGATGCAAAATATACGACCATTTCCCGAAGAAACCAGGTAAGTATGGCTTTATTTCTTTGTACTAATATCCATCAAGGCCATGAACTGTTTAGCGTCCATTGTGGAGGCAACCAATGTGCTTTTATGTCATGAGTCTACGGCGCTTCTTACACAGTTACAGCCCGAAATATTCCCATTGTCCGCATGGTCGTTTAGAACATTTGATAATGTCTTATAAATACAAGGAGACAAGATGTACTTAAGAGCTCTGAAGTATTTAATGAATTTACCGGCAGTGTATAATAGCCCACCAGATTTATTCGTCAATAATGCCTTATTTACGAGTCACAATGTACTCAGTTTTAATATTTGTTTGTTATGTGCCAAGACGATGAGTATAGTGTTCATTTCTAGATGTTTATAGTTTAACAACAAACGTGGAATGTTGTTAAATCAAGCTTACTGTAATAAGATCCCTAGAGCAACCCTGTGTGTCATGCATTGTGACTTATTTAAGTACATCAAAATCATCCTGCCTCATATCTGCTGGCAAAGCGGGATCATATAAACAGCCCCTTTTTCAGCAAATTGTGCATGCTGCCTTTAATCCCTTGGGGTGAGGCAGCATTTTCCTTGCGATAGTAACTTCTAGTAATAATAATATAATATTGCCAAGAGGGAATTTCGTGTGCGTGGCTGTCTAGTAATCAATGTCTGGCTGTCGTGTGCGTGGCTGTCTAGTAATCAAGATGGGAGTCTTTATAGGCCTATTTATATCGAGGCGAATTACCCGGCAAGTCGAGTTTATACTCGTCAACGACAAGATCCCGGCTATATTATAGAAACTTATACAGTAGTAAACCCGGGGGACTGTTTACATGTAGTAAAGAGTATAAACTCGCCAGTGACGAGTTCCCGGCAGAAAGAGGCGAGATATTGCCTTCGGCGAGATGAATACTTACCATATTAAACAAAAGATGTTCGGGTATTTGTTATCTCGGTCGCCCGAGAACGAATGTATGTGTATAAATGTATGTGCTTTGCATTTGAAATATAATATATTGTTCAAAAATACATACGAATCATTAGATAAGTTTTATTCGCCAATTGCAGAGTAACTCGCCTCCATATAAACAAGGCCTTGGACGGCAAATATTCGTTTGTATTATATGATGAACAAGAAATGCTTCAAAGTTCAATCTACCGAGGTGACGATCCTTTTACTGTATATACTAAAATACCCACTGTGAATAACAAATTCACCATAAACTCGACAATACTCGTCTCCGCTTTTTTGTAACACTTTTAACAGGTGTACGGTCTACTGCCATGTGGCCATATAATATTATTCGGTTTATTACCTCGGGTCGGTACGACACCGAGGTCATAAATTCGGCTCCTATATTTTTTTTTCCCATTTGTGTCGAGCCGCGCGCGTAGTTGAAGAGCCTGCGGAGGAGACGACAACTTCCTGTAAATAAGTGTACTTCCGGATTATTTCAAGCATCGGCCAAAGCGAAACGGAACCCGAAGCTGTCCTTGCACAAAATCCGTCAAAATTTTTTATTTAAAACCAGAAGATGTGATAATGTTGACATAGACGTTTAGCTGGATAACTATTCTCGAGTATATGTTGATATAATGCACAATACTTCGTACGCATAGCATGGGAATACCGCGGCCAACTTTCACTTGTTATCTATTATAATTACTGACCCGAATCAAAAGTAATTATTTTCGGCTGGAAGACTACTGTACGTTGCTGCTTGTCGGGACCGTATGACAATGAACCTATCCAACGTTACACTGGACATTTGTGAGGACATGCATATAGACATAACCATAGGCACTGTAGTGTATTGTGATAGAACAGATTTCAGTTTAATTAATCGCCCTAAATTAAAATCTCCACAAGCGGAGGTCAATTATAGTGTTCTAGTTTACATATTATCATTAATGATAAGGTTTACTCAAATAGCGTATTGGATAAACACGGGAATAGAACTTATGGTGTATTCTGCACATGCGTATATCTAGGATAAAATCCCACAAGCGCAAACGAAACTATTTCTCTATAAAATTGAACTGAAAAGACTCACAGCGACCGTTTCCAACAGTGCTTCAGGCACCCGACGACACCGTATGGGGGGCCTTTAGTACTGTCACCTTCTCATCTTGGGATGTTCACGTTATCGCGTGTACATGTCAGGGTGACGAAGATGCATTATTAGAGACCTTAAGATTGACGTTTACGGCAAACGTCAAACCGCTAGCGAAGTTTTTGATTTTACAACTCTATTATAATAGCTTTTACACCAGTTTTGAAATATGTTAAACTTATTAAACTTGTGCTCTTTAGCAATGATTTAAGAAAGCAAATTAACCACTAGTCATGCCATTCACCAAAGCAATAAATTAAGATTTGGCGTTTGAAGTTGACGTTTGGCGTATAAATTTCATGCTTTAACGACTACAAGCCCTCGTAGCAGTTCCAACATGAAATTTATACGCCAAACGTCAACTTCAGACGCCAAATCTTAATTTATTGCTTTGGTGAATGGCATGACTAGTGGTAAATTTGCTTTCTTAAATCATTGCTAAAGAGCACAAGTTTAATAAGTTTAACATATTTCAAAACTGGTGTAAAAGCTATTATAATAGAGTTGTAAAATCAAAAACCTCGCTAGCGGTTTGACGTCTGCCGTAAACGTCAATCTTAAGGTCTCTATTGCTAATAATGTCTGTGTGCACTGATGCACGCTGCATTATTTTTGTATCTGCGAAGCAGATATATATGCTATCGCAGCCTAGTCCCAGGCTCTCTCTCTATTCGCTGCTTCGATATATGTAAATAAGTCTTAAAAGTTTTATGCCTGGGTGTGCTGTGCGGAACGCTTCAGCGAGAGAGCCTAGCAGATTTCGGTAAAATGGTCCCTGATTTCAAAAAAGTGGTCCCTGGCCTGGTTACCAAGCATACCTCATTTGTAAATGGAAAATGTTATGCAAATTTCCTTTTCATTTATAATTAAGTCATTAGTTTTGCTCTAATGCTGTCGGAACAATGAAATAGGCTACATTTCTGCCATACGGTCAGAATGGAATAACAGGCTAAATATGACTCGTGTTTACTAAAATATATAGCCATATTAAATGCTATCTAGAAACTTGAAAATTATGCCGAGTCTCCGACTAAAAATGTTTTGACAACACCGTCATGTCAGGCAAATATTTCCAATCTCCTCAGCAATTTGAACCTGTCAAGTAGAAAGCGTAGTTGTGTATACAAGTATGGTTTAGCGTTGATCATCAACGATTGCTCAAACTCGGTATCGTAAATTTGTATATAAATTTTCTTAGTTGAGCACATTTTTAATACGGTTTGATTTGGTTATGTAGACATCGAACATGTACATGATGAACGAACATTGTCGTATTTATAATTAAAAGGTTACTTGTAGATATAAATTTTCCGCCATATTAAAAATACTGAAATCTGCTAGACGTTCTGAAGCACCTTGAGCGGTGACGTCACACCTAGGTCCCAGTCTCGTACTACATCCACTTTTTTCTCGCGCTTGATTCAGAACGACAGGGACTAGGCTGATGCTATCGCAAAGGTGCCGTTACCGTACCGTACCGTATGTTAGCAGATAGCCATTCAGCGACGAGCTTATATAATTTAAGCCAATTTAAGCCAATCAGCGATTCGTTTACATCAATTGTTTACATCGTGCCCGCATCTAACCTGCGAACCGGCATACTTTAGCCTCGTCAGGCCTCGTGTATAAATCGTGTTTATATTCTTTCAAAAATATCTTGATATTTTTATCAATTTATCTTGAATCGGCATTCTACTTGCGATATTATTCCGAAGTTATTTATCAACATGGAATCTTATCCTCATCTGGTAAGTAGCCAAATACCACATATTATATATTTAAATACCAAATTTGTGCAAATATATGTTCTACATATTTTATATTAATACATGAGTTCGCCAGTTCGGCAAATATTTACTATACTATCTTATAGTTAATATTGCCGTATCTTCGGCGTAGAGTTTACATGGAATGCACTCTGGAATTTTTTAATAATATATTACACTGTATAAAATATTGGATATTTTCGAGGATATTTTAAGCCATTTGTCAACATAGTTCACAAAAAGATTTATACAGTATTAAAAACAATCCTTCTGTGACTTCTGTAATATCTTAAACAGTGAAAACATAGCAGGCAATATTGCCAGTTAACAATATCAAAGGAACCTATTGGACAGTTCTCAGGAGATATTGAATTAAATCCAGGTCCTGTATTTCTGTATATTGACTCCATAACTCTGTTCAAAACAACAGTCCAACTATAAAGCTGTTATCAAATGTAGTGTTAGAGCAAAGGTTGAAGATGTTATTAGTTAAAATACTTATGCATTTTGGTTTTACACATTAGAGTTAATTAAACAAAATTTTTACAAACATTTTCAAATAAAAGAATCCTCACCCTCCCGAGCCTCATTACATTGTCATTTTGCTTTCTAACATAAATATTTTTCTTTAGAGATTAACACAAGAATGAAGAATAAATGTACTGGATATTGGCTGGATAATTTTGTCAGAACAACCAACTTGCAAGACAATCTTACCTAAATTCATTGTTATGGAAAATAACTTAACAGCTACAATGAGTAATCATATATTATATGGTGGATTTGATCAATGGCACACAATGTACAAAACTAAACTTGTGATACCTTCTACTCAAACCGATAATCTCCCACAACACGATTGTTTTTGTGTAAATGTGCTGTACGTGTTAAACCGAACAGTGTGGTATATCATTAACTGTGCACAGAACTGGAATTTAATTATATACTTCACTCATAACCTTCAAAACATTCTCAATTATTCAGTGGTCTTCGACATGTTCACCAAATATTTTGTGTATGTTACTCAACAGTTAACATTGGCAAGTGTAAACAACAAGTGACATAACTTTTGCTTCATATGATTACAATAAAGTTTTGAAAATTTGATGAGTATGAATTGAATTGACAGGTGACAGTTTACTAAATAGCCGGCTGTATAGACACTTTGAATATTGTTTGCATGAAATTTTTATTTCCTGACTGCATAATTATCTGTTACAATCATGATCACATTATAAAGTTAGTTAAATTTTCTCGGTGTGGGGGTGGGTAGCACTTGCCCTGCTGCACTCCCCGCTGTGTACAGCCCTGTTTTAAATCTTATCTGCCATTATAATAAGTGATGAAATATTTCAATTGTCCCATGTCATCTTCATTATTCAGTTTCTTTCAAGAAAATACAAAATGGGATCAAGTTTTTTCGCAGATACATGTACGCGTCGCGTACCTATTTTTAATAATGTTGTGTGCTATTTTAACGCGTACATAGATTATGACGCGTATAAACATTTACCCCTGAGCCGGAATTTCCCTATACAACCAAAAAGGCCGCTCCCGTTTTTCAGTAGAACGTTAAATGAAAACTTCTCGACATTCGCTGATATAACATTATAATGCAGAGATAAAACAATAGGTTTGATGAGGGCCAGTAATTATTATCAATAAAATATTAAAACGGAGCTTTGATTAACTGATTCACCATTTATACTAGTGAACTATTAAACTATCGTGATTTACACAATTTTTGGATATTTACCAGACGATCCCCTATCCACCGACCCGAGGTTAACGCCGAGTCGGCGTCTTGTTTTACTATAAAGACTCGCTAATTTTAATTTTTTGTTTTGAAATTGACCTATTCTGTCGCAATTTCCATCGCTCAAATGTTCGGTTGAACACGCCCAAATCATCATCAGTCAAAAATAAATACGTGTCCTATTGGCTAACGTTTGATTGACATGTGACAGTTAAAACAGTAAAAGCCATAGAAGTGTTCCAGAGGTTCTTCCCGCTCGCCGCCTCCCA